ACAGACATACCTGAGCAGCCTTAAGGTATGATGCCACAAAATGCTCCATGTGCACACTATAAGCACATTCAGTTGTATATTAACGAATCAACATCCTCTGATCACATAACCTAACATTAAATCACCTAACAACCTGCCAAAAGCAGTTCAGAATGTATTAAAGTAAACGAATGCACCTACACCTACTAACTTGGCACACAAAATAATCCCTAGCTAAAACTAGCATTAAAGCGCTCCCAGGTAGGATGTAATGACAGGGCTTCAAAGAAGCTTCACCATCTGTTTGTAAGCTTCTAATTATGTGTGAACCTATGGGTATTTTGATTTCCTCTCCTGAAAGCAGATTCCTTCTACTGAGCACATATCAGTGGTCCATTCTGCTGCAACTGAGTGTAATGTTAATGCCACCCATAAACTTCATTGTCAGAAACACAGGTGGCACTGCTTCAACCAGCAAGGCTGAATGCAGCAGAAGGGTGAATGCAGGATTTCTGAACAAATGAACTTATCAAAAAAACCCAAAAAACAAAACTCCACAGGACCTCCAGCGCATGACTACTAAGCAGTTAAAGTAGGTCACTGCAGACTGACAAATGTGAAACTGAGCCACCAGATGCCAGATTTCAGGGTCCCAGTACACATTACACAGGCTAAAATTGTCCCCCACAGAGCTTCAGTTGCTCCCATATTGTGTCAGCATTACTTGAAAATCCTTTTTCTACAGATGTTTTCTCATCAAGTATTTCAAAACTTAAGGAACATACGCATATGGCATTTAAGAGTGCACTGGAAGGACTCTCATCATCTCCCCCAGAAAGAATGGAAAATACACAGAGACACATACATACACACCAGACACACCTCCAGCACCTACCCACACATTCTGTCTCTCACTCTCTGCCCCACCTCCAGAGTTGGGTTAGAGTCCAAAACAGATATTATATTTGCTCCTATTCTCCCTACATGAAAGGCTACAACCCAAGATGGAATGCACTTCTGAACCCAGAGTAAAAGGAGTGGCCAGAGAGTAGACTTCTGCCTACCAAGCTACTCTACGCTGCAGCAAGAACGTTATCTAAAAAACTGCAATATGGTTATCTAACAATTCCAGTCGGCCACTGGTTTATCTCTATCTCCCTTCTGTGTTTCAAAATAAGATTACTGACTCAGCATTTAAGCTCTACATTCAGCTGTTCTCTACCTAGCGCTTTCCCACAGTCTAAACCAGTGTTTCAACTAAAACAAGTGATTTATCCATGCACCTGGCTGAAAAAGTAACTGACATTAATACTGTGGTAAAGCTGAAGTTCAAAGGTAATAAACCCTGAAATTTAGGGAAATATGCATTATCATATTAATTAAAAGAATGAAATGGAGAAACAAATCAGTCCTTTGAGTGTAAATAGGAATCACTTTGTGGTTTACCATCTCACTACAATGGAATTCTAAATGTTCTCATTAAATGATATTTGCTTTCATTTCTAGAACTACTGCAGTTTTCATGATGACTTTTGTAATATACTTTACATAAAATGTATATTCATATAACGTAATGTATATTCCTCAGCTTGGTGCCGCAAAGAGCTATTCTGGAATATACCATGTAATGCAAACGCCAATAAACAAATTCCAAGATCCAGTAACTAACAAGACAGTGTCTTACCCTGTCCTGGCTATTCCTTCTTCAGGTCATCCTAAGATGCACACTTTTCCAGCACTGTTGTAGCTGTTTCCCAAATACAGTAGAGAGGCAGTGTACTTTGTTGCAAGGATGTTTCACCTCAACAAGCCTCAAGAGCAATTCTGTAGTAATGCTGTAGTAAAGACTGATCATTAGAGGAAAGACACGTGGATCTTCTAGCATGTTCTCAAGTAATCAGGTCTGTGGCCTCTAAGATTAGAAAATGGATGACACAGTCAGTGTCGGACAAAAAGCATGAAACATTTCAAAAAACCAAAACAAAACAACTGGATAATGACTGCCAGCAGAGAAAAGTCAAAATCCTATTAGATCAATTTCCTCTACAGATCCTGTTTCACTGAAAGAAATAGCAATAACACCATAATTAACTACCTCAACTCCACCCACTGTACAACCTGAAGGTATTCTAGCAAATATTCAACATTGCTAATGCAGTGTACAATTGCAGCAGGATCCAAATTTTAAGCTGATAAGCATTTTGCAGCCTTTCAAGATAGCATTGCATTGGACAGAAGACAGAAGAAGCCTGTACAACAGAAGACAGGCTAAACACAAACCCCCCTCCCCCATTATGTTTAACAGTGATTTTCAGGAGATCCATTTTCTTTGAGAAGCTTTAAGCATTCTTTTGATCTACTGAATAGAAAGAAGTATGCTCCACTCCTTTATCAGTCCCTATGACAGACTTTCTATGATTTCTTCCTGTTTCCTCATCACACCTTGAATATCCATGACATATCTGATCATCCAGGACTGCAAAAGACAGAGATGCAAAACTGTCATCATTCAGCATAGTCCATATCTAAACTATGACATTAATCACCACTTAATCTTTGCTAGTCTAGCTTCTTAAAAACAGCAAAATGGGGCTAGCATGATTATACTGACCCTTGTGTATCCCTGTCCTGGTTCTGGCCAAGCCAGGGTTAATTTTTCTAGGACACTAAGGTTATTCCATACCACCTCACATTATTTTGCAGGAGTGGGGGCACATAGCATGGTGTGGTCTGGTACTGCGAGGGGTCCCACATAGTGAACGCCTGTGTGTGAATCATCTCTTCTACACTTGCCTACAGTGACAACTGTCTGAAATGTCTTGTGACTGTTTTCTTATTTCATTTGCTGTTTCCAGTAAATTGTCCTTATCTGAACCTGTGATCCTTGCCTTTTGTGCCTCCAATTCTCTTCTCCAGGGCTATGCAGGGAGATAGGTAGGGGGAGAGGTGAGTGAGTGGTGCATGGTTTAGAGTGTTTCAGTTACAACACTAAACTGGGGAATATAATTCCTAAAACACGGCAGTACCTTAGGACTTGAATTTGCACATGACAGGATGCCCTAAGAAAAATAAACGTATCCTTTCCCCTTACCAAACATTACCTAACCCCAGAATACAATGCACATTCTTCAGGATGCTACTTCCACACACTCAGCCCTCTCCATGAACCAGCAGGAACAGAGAGAAAATAAATAATTTGCTTTAAATGGAAAGAAAAAAAAAAAGACAAGTAGATGTCCACAGCTAACCTTGGCCACATTAAAAAAAAAAATATTTTCTTGAGTGCATGACATTGTGTAGCCAGTTCTATAGGATATCAATTATTTTCAAAGGGAAGAAAAACAGTCATGTGTGTATTAAAGTGATTACTTCAGTTACAAAACAGATACCAGAATTCAGTTTCTCTTGGAAAACTTTTTTGATAGACCGGCTCTCTACAACATTTCTGTGTGTGTGTGTTTGTACCAGACAGAAGATACTCTCGTATCAGAGGTCATGCACTGACTCATACGATAAATAATACTGTCACTGCTTAGAATCCCAGGAAAGCAGCCTGCAAGTTCAACTTGCAGAACCGGTCCTAAAAAAAACTATCTCAAAAACCAACCAAAACAAACTCACAAAAAACCCAAACTTCCCTCTTTGGCATCAGGGCTTTAACTTACTGCTTTGTTTCCCTCCTCCTAGCTCTTTTTAACAACTCAGGCAGGTTCAGTTAAAGGGATATTGATATGACAGCAATAGCACCAGATAAACTCTCCTAGATTGTTCATCCTCCGTGTTCTTCAGCTCCTTCCACATATTATGCTACCAAAACTAAAAGCACAGAGCGTATTTCAAGAATATATTGTAGACCGTTTCCCCTATCCTGCTTAGTACCAAAAAAAGACAAAACAGTCTTCTGGAACAACAGAGTGAGGATGATAACTTTTGTAGCAAAAGTGCTGACAAGACAAGCTGAACACACCTTTCTATCTAACTAATCAAAAGAGCTCCCTTTTTAAAAAAAGAAATTAAAGCACACGTGAAAGTTATCTCAAACGTAAGCCAACTGAAGCTGGGTATTTATGTGGGATGGGGGAAAGTTGTCCAAACGTAGCTCTCAAAACATTAAGATTACTGAGTTATGACCACATAGTCACACACTTTGAGAAAACCAAAAAAATAGAAGTCATATGGATAACGCCTTTCAAGAAGTCATATGGATAACACGCCATTGAACATTTAATTGCTGCACTCACTGCACAAATGTATACGCTTTATTTCAGTCTTCCTCTTATAATTCTTTGGCTTAACAAGGTCCTTTCATGTCATAAGTATGATTCAAGTCTCACACTACCCATTTGCCTACAGTAACAACTGTCTGAAATGTCTTGTTACGATTCTCTCTTAGCAGCACTGTGCCTGGTGCGGGCGGACCCGGGCCAGAGGTATCTCCATCCCTGAAACGGTCCCTCGGCATCCAGCGCCTCGTGACTTCCTCTGCGATCCCGAAGCCCATCAGGACCTGGCACCAGACCTCAAAGGGACAGGGCATGGCTTCAGAGGCCGTGCGGGGACCTGCCCACGCTTTCGGCAAGACGCCCTTCCCAGCGCCCCGGCCCCAAGCGCTACATCGCCTGCAGAGGGGCGGCCTCTGAGGCCGGGATGGGCCCGTGTGTCCCGGCCTGGCCCCGTCCCCGCCTGCTTTGCCCCGGCCCTGCCTGCCTTGCCCCGGGCCCGCCCCCGCCTACCTTGCACCGGGCGCTGGTGTCGTACTTGTCGTTCTTGAAGGCGCGCGCGTTCTGGTGGCGCTGGGGCCGCGTGCGGGACACGTTCCCCCGCTCCGAGCTCATCGCGGGCCGGCGCCGCGTGCCCCGGAACCGCTCCCCGGCCCGCCCGCGCTGGGCGGTGCCGCCGGGGCTGCGCCCCCATTGGCGCTGCGGCCCGCGGGGCCCCGCCCCGGCCGCCCCCGCGCCGGTGCAGTCTGCGGACGAGGGGAGGCGGGCGCCGTTCCGGAGGCTGCGCGGGGCGGGCTCAGCGCTGCCAGGGCCGCGCGTTCTCCGGCCGGGGCCGGGGCGCTGACGGCCGCCTCCCGCCGCGCCGTTACTCAGCACAGCCGGTGTCCCCACGGCCCGCCGACCCGGCAGTCGGGAGAGAGCGGGGCCGCCGAGCGGAGCGCCAGGTGCAGGTAGGGACTGTCCTCCCCCGGCGTTGGGGGGATGGACGGTGTGCGGGTGACCCGCTGCCGCGGCGTGAGGGCGAGTTGTTTCCCCCTCGCGGCTCCGTCCGTGTCTCTTGCCCGGCTCGGACCCGCGGTCCGTCCGCGCCGCCTGGCGCAGGCGTGTGGCGGCCCCTGGGGCGAGCGGAAGGGCCCGCGGCCGCCACCGGCGTTTCCTCGGAGAGGCGGGCGGCGCGGCTTCGGTCTGCGGCACGAACCGGGCGGGGAGCTGCCGACCCCGCCTGCCTCCTGCCCGCGTCCCTGTGTCGCTGGGCTCGGGGGTCTCTGGGGGTGTCGCCTGCCTCGGGGTGCCCGGGTGCTGTGGGGATCTGTCCGGGTGCTCCCGTCTCCGTGGTCTTGCCCTGGACTCCGTTGTTGGAAACGGGTGCCCTGACTTGTGACACGCGTGTTGAAGTCTGGCTTTTCGGGCTCCGAACAGTGCCTTTGAGTCACTGCTGAGGACTTCGGCGGAGCCCTTTCCAGATTCGGACACCTGAGGAGTTAATTTAGTTCCCGCCAGCCTGGTTAAATTTATTCCTTCAGCTTCTGCTGTAGAGGGTGGTAGTGACGCTGGCCTCAACATTGCTCTCAGGTATTATTAATATAAAAATTTAAAGTATTTGGTCAGCAATTAACTAGGAAAGTTCATGGCTGCGGAAATCAGAGTAGAAGTACCTGGGCGCAGAGCGGCGTTGAGGGCGGAGCTCGGTGCTGGTGGCCGGGCCGGCCTGAGCCGGGACACCGGGCCGAGGGCCGGGACACCGGGCCGGGACACCGCGGGTCTTCAGCGCCAGCCGCCGGCGGGTGCCTTCAGCAGGGCAGCTCCGGGGGCAGAGGCTTGCTTAGAGCATGCAAGGCATTATGTAATCGGCTTAATCCCGCAGTTGTCTATCTGGAGCCTTTAGAGGTTTCGTTTGTTCTTCGGGTGATAAAGAAGGTCTGGATTTTTCAGTTAATGTTTCCTGGATTCCCTTTCTTTTTTCAGCTGTAGCCTTGGGTTTTGATATACGCAAAGTAACCAGCAGAGGATAAATAAATGATATGTGTTAAAATAGATAGAATTTGTAAGACTAGAAGGAGTGTTTATTTGTTTAGAATCAAATTAACCAAAGTAAAGTTTTGGTTTGATCAGGCTTCTCTGTTTTCATGTAGCCTACTTTGTCCTTTGAAAACTATCTTAAACACTTACTTCACAGTATTTCTTAATATAGCTTTTTCATAATTGAATATACTTTGTGTTGTTTTCTGGACTTACTGCGTATTCTTTCTTAATATTCTCTTAATCCTTTTATGTGGTACTGAATCAGACACTAATGATTTCTTTTTCTCTGAACATTTTGTTGCTTTAACTGTTGGACTAGTTAAAGGATGTTCATATCATTCTGTTCCATTTCTAATATTACACAGGTGTTGAAATAAATGTCAGTACTTCAGTAGTAGCTTGAACTCAAGTTCTTATTGCATTGTGCTCGATGGAAGTGTGAGGAAAAATGCTTTAGAATTTCTTCTTTCAGCAGTAGATAATGAACAATAAAGATGAAAAAAAACCCTAATCAAACAACAAACCCTCAACCAAAATACACACATATACAAAAAAAAAAAAAAACCAAACCAAAACAAACCACCAAACAAAAAAACCAGACAAATAAAAAAAGCCCCCAACAATTTGAATATCTTGCCCGTTATGGTTTGAACAACACTTAAAGTTCCAAACCAGCAGCTATATTTATGAGTTTGACTTTGTTCTTGTGAATAGTTCCCATGAAGTCGGCAATTTAATTTAAATAAACAATTAGAATAATTTCTATTTAATGTAAATATAAGATTTCTAAATAAGTGTTTGCAAGGTTGGGCTGGTTTTGAGACTAATACATAGCGAAGTATTCAAAGATGTGAATAATAGGTTCCACTGTCTTGTTATTATGTACAGAGAGATAGGAGGACAGGAATAAATTCTCATGTGAAAAAATTACGTTTGTGTTATCCTAGGAAGCACAAGGTAAATACTTGAGGTGTTCTTTAAGATTAAATAGACATTTTCCCACTTCTGTCAGCCTTTATGAAAAGTCTAATTGCCACAGAATGAATTGAAATCACTGCCTGTGGGCAATTTTACATTTGCAGTTTTATATGTTAAATCTTTATTCATAAGAGAGTTAAAGAGATAAAATTGATAAAATGCTCTTGCTTTCTTTTTAAAAGCTATCCCAGAAGGGATATCCCCAGAAGGGATAAGTAGTATAGTTTGGGTCTGTTTTATTTCTTAGCCTCTATTGCTGCAATAGAAAAGTTTTTTGCAATTTCTTCTATAGAATTTTCATACTTATTTACTAAAAATGCAGTATAATTTTAAAGGGGGTGTATATTTCTTTATCGTATTCTTTTTTTTGTCAGTATATTTTACCAGCTGTAGCAACTGTGTTTGCAGAACAGCACTGGCATTTTTATTACTACTGAAATGTCAAGTAGAAGGTGAGATAGTTGTGTTGTTGGGGTGTGTTGCTCTCAGCATCTGATTATGCTGTAATGAGCACAGAGATTTACATCATACATGTTCAGAAGGTGTTAGACTATACCTTAGGTATTCACAGCATATCTTAGTCAAATGAGTCTCATTAAAGTTACTCATCTGTACTTGTGGAACCATATGCTTAAATTAATCTAGTCAGAGTTGTTTTTGCCTCAGCTTCACTAAGAATCCAGATAAAGCACACATCCAGCTTATTCACACTCTCATGTGAGTACAATCCATCACAGTGAAAGACAAACCAGTTCCAGTATAATGGAAACATTGTTTGTATTTAGTTGGAGCTATTCTCCTGTGGAAGTTCAGTAGGTGTTTTGTATCAAATTGGTTCAGTTAGTGACCTGCTGGTTGTCTTAGGTCTTCTGAATGAAGAAAGTAGCATGTGTTTGTTTTAAAGAAGAGAGTTGTTATTAGCCATGATTTAGTTGGAGAATGAATCAGAATCTTTTGTTTCAGTAGGCATATTTTCCATTGGATTAAAAGATCAATACATAAAGCCTGCATTAGTCTAGCACAGGGGAGGAATAATACTTCATCTGCTGTCTTCAGCTTGTCATTTGCCATATCTGGTGACAACCCATTTTTCGCACATTTACACTATCTTGGGGGACATTACCACCACATCAGCTAATTCCCTGTGGTTTACTGCTGTACTGCCCTGTGTGTGAATCCTGCAGGCCAGTTTCCAGTCTTCTGAAATTACTTGGGTAAATAGCAAATATTTTATGAGTGAGATCATATTTGTAGTGTTTCTGGGCTGTTTATACTTTCAAATAATGTAAACTCCTGTTCTAATTCTTTCTGACAAGGGGATTTGGAAGAAATAAGAAATTCTGTAGTTCTCATTACATGCTGGTAAGAGTGCAGTCTGCTATTCCTGGGCAAAACAAACTATTTGTGTCTCACTTTTGGAGGTACAAATTCTTTTAAATTTTTCCCAAAAAGTAATAGTCATCCCCTTAGAATAAAATATAATATCTAACTTCACCTTCAGCGTTTCTGTACAGGTGGGAAAACTCACTCAGAATAGATCCATTTAATAGTTTCTATAGAAATAGAAGTGATTTTGAGTATTGTGTTATAAGTACTTGGAAAAAAAGCATGTTGAGACTGGACTGTGAAGACAAACTCCTTAAGTAGAGGTGAAAGAAGTTGCTTCTTTGGTGCTCATAATTACAAAAGAAGTGAGGAAGGAACAAATAGACACCACCACCACCCCACAAAACAGTAGGATTTTTACTTTGCATAAGACAATCTAAACCTTTTGCTAATAGTTTGACTTCCTCCATAGACTCCTTCCATTTATCCTGACTTGTGGGTATAACTGAAACTTAATGTTCACATTATCTCATCTGACAGAGGTGAGTTATTCCATATTTGAGTGACTAATTGTGCTGAAACACAATATTATTGTTACTTCAGCTATCAGGAATATGGTCCTTTATCCAACATCTTCTTTAAGAGCCTATCTACCTTCTTAAGAGAGCTGATCAGTACTTCCCGCCATGTCCTCTAAATTGGAAGTGTTGATCTCCCATGTCTAAACCTCTGTGGTTTCCCTCTGTTTTGAAGAAAACTAGAGACCTGGGTGAAAAACCTTAGCTGCGGCAGCCTCTTTTTTTTGTGATATTCCATGAATGCTTGTATGTTTGTCAGACTGTCTCACTGTGCCTGGTTTTGCTGCTGTAAAAGTATGCTCCATGTAACATTGTTTGCAGTATGCTTTCATACTGTACCACCAGGAAGAGACCATTCACGCATCCAAAAATACAGATAGTTGTTCTGTGACACATGTTAAAGTGTTTTTGCAGCACTGTCCTTGAAGCTTCTTTAAAAAGAAATTTATACATGAAAACTATGCTTCTGTAAAAATTTAAGGACAAAATTTGAAATAGCTAAATATTGCTGGTGTCACAGTTAGCAGTAAGATTTTAGTGTTGGATGACCCAAATACTTCTGGAGCAGCATGGTACTGTATACGACTGAAATCTGCTTGTTTTGTAGCTTGACTCAAAGTCAGTATGTGAAATTGTAAGTGTTCATGTTCACAGGGAACTGTCAGGAGATGAACTTGGGACTTGTAGGTAGATTTGGTATGAAAAAGTTGTTTAAGTTAAGATGAAATGTCAGATGCCTTAACTCAAGGAAAATAGAGTAAATGGTTATCTTTGGTGTGCTAGTTTCCAGCACAGTACTTGTCAAATTTCATTGCTCTTCTTATCTCTGAGAAAAAGTATTGCCTCAACAAAAGATTTCCCCCCACTCCCTTCTCACTGGTATAAATTAAGAGAAACACAAGGTCTATTTTAAGGGCAACTGTACCTTTACCTGTCTTGCTTTAGGTATAGGTGTGTTCATCTTTTTTTTCCTCCCCCTCACCACTTCTAAAACTAATGCTTTGAATTGGTGCTATAGATTATGCTGGTTTAACAAATATTTGTGATAGAAGATTTAGTTAGGGAGATGTTTCTTGAAGCATGGAAAAAAAACCGCTAATTGTGTCATTTTTACAATCCCAATTCCTATGGGTAATACAGCTAAGAACTTTTTTGAAGGTTTTCAAAATATTTATGTCGGCAAGTATGAGGAGTGAAGATAAGTTTATGGCTACATTTTTGTGTACCAAAGCTCTAGAGTGTTTGCTAATCCAGAAGCATCATCTTGTTTTGTCTTCTACGTTTTGACCTTCATGCACCCTTCATATTTCTGATAGTGCTTGCAGGAGCCCATAGCCCGGGATCGCAATACACTTTCTTTGTATTTAGGAGATGCTGTAGTGACTTTTAGCTGCAGAAATCTGCATAACCTTAGTATGCTGCAACTCTGCAACATACTTTAATTGTTCTTTTATCACGTATGTATTTGTCAGTGGGAAGAACGTTTTTCTTAATGTCTTAAGATGAGGAACTTCATTTCCGCCAAAGAAAGTCGAAAACAAATGCTTGTTCCTTCTCTAGGTACTGATGTTTTACTTCTGATATCTGGTAGTGCTTTAAAGTTATCACTCCCCTTTACTAATATACCCATTGTGAAATAACTAATAATATAAAATTGAATATTATACAGAAATATATATATATGGATTTAAGTCTTTGTTGTGTTAAATGTTCAGAAGTTATGCATTATTTCCTAGAGATATTGTGTTCACTTTTTTTTGTAAGTTGGATTTTTTTAATGTCAGATTGTACCTGGAAACTGATACTTATTCTCTCTTCCCATTTCAGACTAGAAGATGAATAATCTTTCCTTTAGTGAACTGTGTTGCCTGTTTTGTTGTCCACCATGCCCAGGGAAAATTGCCTCTAAGCTAGCATTCTTACCTCCTGATCCCACATACACACTGATGTGTGATGAGAGTGGCAGTCGCTGGACTTTGCATCTCTCAGAGCGAGCAGACTGGCAATATTCTTCCAGGGAAAAAGATGCTATTGAGTGCTTCATGACTAGAACATGTAAAGGCAACAGGATTGCCTGTATGTTCGTGCGTTGCTCACCTAACGCCAAGTACACTTTGCTCTTCTCACATGGAAATGCTGTTGACCTGGGTCAGATGAGCAGCTTTTATATAGGACTGGGTTCACGGATTAATTGCAACATATTCTCCTATGATTATTCTGGATATGGCGCAAGTTCTGGGAAGCCTACGGAGAAGAATCTCTATGCTGACATTGATGCTGCTTGGGTGGCTCTTAGAACAAGGTAAGACATTAGTTGCCATTTTTCTTTTACAGCATTCTTGTCAAATGGTTTTATTTCACATGCATTGGTAGTTGAAACAGCAGTGCTGTGATTTAGAATTAGCAGATTCATATCCAAGCTGACTGGTGGTGCCTGATGTTGAAGGCATTGTCAGTATTAAGCAGGATCAGTATATATTACTTACCTACTGTAAAAATTGAAATGGAATTAAATTTAATAAGCTGTGGTCTAGTCTTGAACAAGTAGAGTATCTTCCTTATTGTCATGGTTTGGAATCTTCTCAGCTGCAAAATTTAAAAAAATTGGAAAAAGTCTATAATAATTGATACCCCAGTGATTAACCCACTATTGTGAGAAAATGCAGGTTGTTTCTTCAGATAATTTCCATCACCTACTTTTTCTGTAGGGAGGGGCAGAGTAAAAGCTGGTACAAGAGAACTTGGTGAGACTCTTATTTCTGTGTGGTGTTGATATCACCTTTGTTTCAGCATTCTGACTAGCAGCTACAGCATTTCCAAAGAGAGAAAACATCTTTTTGCTTTATATAGAAAGCTAGCTTCACAAAACATAATGTGTGGGAGAGTTTGTAACAGATCTGTGTAAATACCTTGTGGTGGGAACAAAAAAAGAGGGATTTCAAGCAGTGATGTTAACTCAAGCAGAATAAAAATGGACAAGAAAAAAATAAGAATGGAAAGATGTTATTTCAGTGATTTCTGTGTTCTAAGCCTCTGGTTTTGTGGGACATAAAATAGCAAAATGAAAGATTGTGAATGTATTCACTGATATAAGTGAGAATCCTACAGAATCCTGCACCAAATATGTGCAGCTTCTCTAATTTGAGAGCAATTTTCACTATAATTTTTTCCATTTAGCTCAATAGTCTTCTCATGGTTACAAATACCCAGACGATAAATACTACTTTTAAAATAGTATTCTATCATAAGAATAACCGCCCACCAGAAAATCCCAGTACACTGTGTATTTCATATCAAAAATGTATAAAAACCTGAAATGTGTTGTTGCAGCTCAGTCATTGAAACTTGAGCATCCTGTTTAATAATTATAGTATCAGGGATTTGACTTAGTGTAAGGGCATGTGGGCTTTAAATCCTGGATCCTGGTTATTGTCACAGTGAGTTTAGAACTTCATCAATGTAGTATTAATGAGCAGATTACCCCTCTTCAGTGCTTTAAATACACGTTTAGTCTTGCACTCATTTTACGTTACAACTATAGTATGATTTCAAAGAAGCATATGTTATCCATGTATTAAATAGGGAAAAAGCTTATTATCATAAACATCATTCAACTGCAGGAGACAGGTTTTCAGCTTCATCTATTCAAAAACATGCATACTAGGTTGTTGGATTACCTTTTGGTGTTTATTTTTATTACAATGGAAAGTTGAGATATGGCTGTTCCATAAGCCAAAAGCTGCAACAGGTGCACTGTTGACCATGGTTTGTAGCTGGTAGGTGATTTGCTATAACATTTACCAAAAACATAATGTGGTTTGTGAGCAATTTGGAAGACAGTCTGAACTATTTAAATGTGACAGAAAATGGAAGAGAACTAGATGGTGAAATATAATACTTTATGTCAGTTTACAGGCTCTGTTTTATAAACTAATTTGTAATTATTGTTTCTTCTTCCTCATAATGAATGTCTGAATATAAAATCTGCAAAGAAATGTGATTACAATTTGAATTCTCACCACTATTCTTAAGCAATGAAGTGTATTTTCTCTAAACAAATAAGATTGTTCATAATTGATAGGACACAGGCTAATGGCTTTAAAGTGAAAGAAGGTAGATTGAGATTAGATATAAGAAATAAATTCTTTTCTGTGAGGGTGATAAAGCACAGGAACAAATTGCCAGAGAAGTTGCCACAAGAAGAACCATTTGTCCAGAGAAATTGTGGTCAACTTCCCCATCCCAGGAAGTGTTCAAGTTGTTGTTGAATGGAACTTTCAGCAGATTGATCTAGTGGAAAGTATCCCTGCCCATGGCAGGGAAGGTGGAATTAAAGGGTATTTAAAGGTCTCTTACCCCAGCTATTCTGTGATTGTAATCCTATATGGATGATGGCCATGAGAGAAGGTGGTGTGATTCACTGCCTTCATCAATTTTGGAAAAGTTGTACATTGTTGCATATTCATGTGCATGGGACTGCATAAAAGCTGCAAGTAAGGAGATTCTTTTTCCAGGTGTCATAACTACCAAGTGTTGAAATGCCAAGAGTCACTTTGGGATACGCCTATTTTCTGCTGTTCTGGTCTCTGAAGGCCTTTGATGACACCCTAGCAAGGGTGGAAAGGTTTAACCAGCCCCAGGCAAATGCAGGGCAAGTGGCACTCATTCAGAAACCTCTGAAGATGTGCCAGGTTGCCTCATGACCAGATTTACCTGTAAGAAGCGAAACAGCCCTTTCATTGTTGCTTATCATGGACTGCATAATAATTGAAAAATTAAAGGGTAAATCTCACCATCAGACAATGTGTCAAAGTGGACAGAATGTCCATAAATTGAACAGCCAAGTATAGGAATAATACTGTCTCGTCAGATGTTGACCAAAATTGTTCATTTCACAATTCATAAACTACTTTTTTTGGTTTTTTTCATTCAGAAGTAGAAGGGGGAGAGTTCAGCTAGAAGTTGAGGTACTCTAGTTTTATACATTTGGAGGGAAATTGAGGGTATCTTTAAATTCATAGGGAAAAATAGCTCAATTATTGTGGAAGAGAAATCTTGACAAATCTTGATGTATTGGTAGCATTTTAAAGTTTAGAAAGGCCAAACTGTGAGAGAGGCAAAGAAGGTGCAGTTTGTTGATATAATGTGGACAATGGGTTTGCCTCTCGTAAAACATAGTTCCTTTTTTCTTCTTCCTTTGTAAAATACTGTATGCACAAGAAGGGGGATGCCTGCATCATTTGAGGAAGCGCTGTGTGCTCCTGAATTTTATATGTGGCCTAAAATGTTGAGAGTTACAGGTGTGGATGAGGTTCATGCCCTTTGTGTTCTGCAACTTGCAGCTGTAATTTCATGTGTTATGTCCATGATGACAGAAGATTCTGAATGTACATTGAAAATTCCCTCAGTATGTTCCCCCTTGTTCCATGTGCCCCAAGTGCTGTGTCAGGTTTCTAAATGTATGTGTTGCAATAGCTTTGCAAACCTAGCTTCTCTAGAGCATCTAGTGTAAGCCTAAAGAGGTACTATGGAAAATGTACTCTTCTAAGCTTGATCTTATCAATACTTATTTCATTATTGTAAAGCAATCAAGTCTTCTAGATTAAGAGCAGTAGTTCAGAAGTAAATATAAATTACTTTGTCTCCCTTATGTATATCTGGAACAAAATGGCAGGTATTTTTAAGAGCCTGACACTGCAGCATGGTAATTTCTGCTAGTATTTGTTTCTTAAAGGTAACTGAAATTAAAAACCAAAAACGAAGGATAAAACCCAAAGAAACAAAAAAACTCTACCTACATTGTCACAGCTAGACATGCATTTTGTAGTTTTCTTATTGCATCATGATAATATGGTAAATATCCAGTGAAAATATAAAATAAGGTTAATATCCAATGTTAGTGATGTACATCCAATTAAAGTGTTTAGGGGTTAGACAGAACTTTGAGCAACTTGATTCAGTGAAATATTAATATTACCTCTCTATGGCAAGGGTGTGGACTATACTACATTCCAACCTAAACTGCTCTGTGATTCCATGAAGAGAAAAAGAGAATGGAGGGGTAGAGAAAAGGTGGACCACCAGTAAGATAAGTGTTTAGTAAAGGGCAGGAAATGTCTTGCTACAAATACAGAAATATCAAAGAAGTGGTGAAAAGAGTTTCTGCTAAATCACATGAAGTTCATCACCAAGGGGAAAAAAAAATATTTCATTACTGTTTAGCAGTTCTTTTCCTACCAGAAGCTGAAAAGATGAGGCCAAAAGTGTTCAGGATTGTCTCTTTTACAGTGACCATCTACATCCGGTCAGCATATATAGGGCCACAGAAAAGAATACTGGCTTCATTAGTGTTATCTTGGGCCCTGGTTCCAGGCACTGGAACAGTCTGGCACAGTTACAACTCCTTATTGGCTTGCTCCTTCCTCACCCAGCAGTGGCATGCTGTTTCCTGCCTGTCCCTGAACACAGGCAGCACAAAGGAGCACTAAAGCAATTGCTCCACTACTCCCAGACAAGGTTTATTTAGTTCCTTTCATTAACTGTTAAAGCCTAATGAGGGGGAATGCATTGCTGAAGCTGCAAATAGGAAAGTGGTTCTTTCTGTTCAGCTATAGTTTAGCTTTGTAGTGACATTAACCTGTGCCTTCAGTGTGGTGACGAGGCAGAAATTCGTAAATGCTCAGACACTCTTGTGAGGATGTCAGGAAGCTTACATGAACACAGGTTCTGTGTCAAAACCGCTCTTTAGATTCCATCTGCTTTCCAGGCAGGTAACCTTTAACTGTGTGAGCATAAAGGATGAATTGGATGTTGAAAGGAATTGAAATTTCAGCTGCTCTGGGAAAGAGAAAGATGTTGCAGTTAGCCTATAAACTGCAGAAAATATCAAGTTTTGTACCAGGTTCTGCCCAGAATGCCTTGTCCATGAAGAATAGTGCTTTCTTGACAAAACCAGCATGCTGGTACATCTGTGCATAGCTACTTTTAAGGTTTTCTTCCAAGGTCCTTTTTGGTGATTATGACTTTAAAAAAAATCCCCAAACCTAAAAACACCCTTCATTACCTTCACCCCCACACTGAAGGTCTGTCTGTGCTGACACAGGTTATCTAAGATTACTTGAGTTGACAACAGTGTTTACATTAGTCCTGTTATCAACATAATGAGCTTTCAAAGATAGCAACAGTCTTTACAGCATGTCTTTGACCTCTTGTAACCAGAGGAACCAGTTGAAGCATATGGCTCTGTAAATGTCTTGTTCCCCTTCCTCAGGATGGCCTGTACTTACAAGGCACTGATTAAGAGAACAGTGTTACTGTGACTTTTTCTCTTGATCTGACACTCCTCCTTTGGGAGACCAGGTATAGTCATCTGATAATTTGACACAAAACTTCTTGGAGTTTAACAGACTATGAGTCTGTCAAAAGTAAATTTTATGAGTAGGAAACTTAGAAACAGTTACCTTTTCAACATTTTTTCTGTTGTAGATTGTAAAGTGATATTTTTGAGAAATAGCAACAGAGGGACAGTTCATCTCTTTCTTTTTTCTAAATATTTCAGAAGCCTATTACATTGGGTTTGCATGGCCAAGCTTTGGTAGCAGGGGCCTACAGGGATGCCTTCTCTGAGAAGCTGCCAGAGGCTTCCTCCATTTCTGGCAGAGCCAATCTCTGTTGACTCCAAAGATGGCGGTGCCGCTGGCCAAGGCTGGGCCGATTAGAAGTTATGGTAGTGCCTCTGGGATAGCATATTTAAGAGGGGAAAAAGAAATCCTTGCACAGTTGTAATCACAGCCAGAGAAGAGTGAAAGGAGAACATGTGATGGGAACAGCACTGCAGACACCAGGGTCAGTGGGAAGGACGGGCAGGAGGTGCTCCAGGCACCAGAGGAGCCCCACACCAGAGCAGGGGATGCCTGAAGGGAGGCTGTGACCCCATGGGAGACCTGTGGAGAGAGGAGCGCACGCTGGAGCAGCCTGTCCCTGAGGGACTGCACCCCAGGGGTGCATGGGCCAAGGGAGGTTGTGACCCCATGGAAGAGGGACCCACCCTGCAGCAGTTTGAGGGGGCCTGTTGCCTGTGGGACAGACATCAGACAACAGAGAAGTTGGTGGAGAACCGGCTTCCTATGAGGGGGATGCTGTGGTGAGCTGGGGAAGGACTCCTCACCCTGAACAGTGAGAGAAACAACATGGGATGAACTGAGCCTAACTCCCATTCCCTGTGTCCCTGTGCTGCTGGGGGAGAGGGAGAGTTGGGAAGGAGGGAGGGTGGGGAAAAGGTGTTTTTAGGGTGTGTTTTACATCTCATTATTCCTGCTCTGACTTCGTTAGTAATAAGTTCAATTAATATCTCTACATCTAGAGATGACATTTGATGAACCATCTCTCCTAGTCCTTACCTCAGCCCATGATCTCATCATTAAATTTTCTCTCCCTGTCCAGCTGTGAAGCAGAATGAGAGAAAGAGCTGCTTTGGTGGGTGCCTGGCACCTAGCCAGGATCAGCCCACTAAACCTTTCCAAGAGAAAAGGGAAGACTGGAATGAGCAGATGTAATCCAAGATGCTTGGAGTTTTTTATTTGGGAGGGAGGGTTTGATTATATAGGTTTCCATACTACTCAAGCCATAATACTCAGAAGTGTACTTTGAACTACCACTTTGGGTTATTGACTTCTTTAGTTTACTGATTGCAAAGCATGTATTTTCTGGTGGGCACTGTGACGCAAACTATTTGACTGTGATGGAGTAAGAATTACTTTAATCCAGATATTGTAAATGCTTTTCTTGGCTTATTTGTTGTAGCCGTCATTTATCTATCTTGAGGCTGAAGGAATTTGATCAAAAAATAGGGGAAAGAATAGTGAGAAAGAGGAGAATATATGTTCTGAAATAGAGTTTTTAAGTTGTGCTTTGAAATCCTGTGTAATGGCCTGTATCTTGTAAAACTCAACATTCAAGGAAACCCAAGTGTGGTAATTGGCAAGGTTTATTATTTGAATACTGTTTTATCATAATGTGCTGTGCAAACTACATGCCATACTAGTGATGCAACATATTAATGCAAGTTTTGTTCAGATTATGTTGGAAGGAGGGAAGGCTGTCCTGTACTTTCATAAGGGACAAATGTGATGTGAATTGAGAGATGAATTGTAAAAGGATAACACCTATGTTCTTGGGTGTTTCAGAAGAGATGCAGAAATAATGATGACCTTAGATTTGTCTTTTGTTTCAAAGCTTTAATTTATTTTATTTATGTGTGTTGGAATTTTCAGAAAATCTTGTTAACACTTGAAATTGCTTTTTCTTTGAGAATTGTTGTGAAGGGGCTGTTAGTAGTTCCAGACTGATGATGAAGACTTAGAGTTTTAGAAGTCTTAATTTGATCATGATCTGATTATGACTAAAAACTCTTTCTAGGAAACACTGATAGTGATTTAGTAGTCATGATGTAGCAAGATTCCTGTGTCAGGCAGAGTCTGCCTCTGTGCTAATACTTTGAAACCTTTTACATTTCACTTTATCAGAACTGAAATTAAATAAACAGACAAATATTAAATTGATAATTTTAGATGTGAATAGTGGGTTTTATACCAAATTTAGCAAGTTAATGGCATGCCTAATGAGTTCTGCTGCTGATAACATGTAGGTAATACTACAACCTTGAAATTTCCCTAGATGCATATTTTTTTATTAATTGTTTATTATATATTAATGCAACTTAGAAAACATTTTTTCTGGCGTATTAAGAAGTACTTGTGGATTTGGAGGGAGCTGTTTTGTTGGTTGGTAATTTGAATGTCTTGATACACGTGAAACACTTTTTTTTCCTAATGTTCCTGATCTTTAGTCTCCTAAACTTTACTGATTTTAGTGTTTGGTTACCCATACAGTTATTTACTCGTGTTTATAAGATACTTGTGAATTTCTTCCATACTTCTGCTCCCCTGACTTTACTGGAGATATGCAAAATAGAGACATTTGATAACTTCTTTGTGGCTATGTGTGTTGTTGTTATATAATGTTTACAGAAAATATGCATGCCTTTATTGTAGACAAGGTAACAGGTGCTCTTTCCTATACTTGATTTTCATTCCTTTTAAAGTGGCAAGTGTCAAACCTACCTCCTGCTGTTCCACAGTGATGTTAGGCTAGGCTGCTCTTACTTAAAAAGTTGAACAAGTTTTTAATAATGCATGAGAACAATGGTTTGGGTTTGGGTTTTTTGGTTTAATTTGGGGGCTTTGGACTTTTTTTAGAAATTATTGGGAGGAGTTTGATTTTTTGGTGTATTTTGTGGGATTTTGGGAAGGGTAGTTGTTGGTTTTGGGGTTTTTTGTGTATGGGGTTTTCTTGAGTGCAATGTGGTATCCCTTCCTATTCAAGGTACTTCCTTTCCCAAGTTTAGATACACTGCTGCAGTCTGACCTGTGCTAAGAGTCCCTGGTTAGGGGTACAGGGCAGTGGATCAGCTCACTTTTTTTGCAGGCACTGTTCTTGGCCACATTATCGTTCTCTTCAGAGGCTTTTCCTGTGTAACTTGGGCAGCAATTGCTTTTTGCATTCACACTAATGCTGAAAAATATATTAAAATTACTTGTATGAGTGTTAACTAGATGTTTCTTTTGTTTGCCCCTGTTAATTGCATCTTACTAGGAGGAAGGCTTTGATTTCGATTCTGTATTCCCTGCTGGGCTGTCTTGCTTGTGGATTAGTTTGATAAGAACAAGCTTCTTGGCTATTATGTGGAATGATCAATATCATTATACTGCTCATTGTCAGTATGGGCAAGCTTTAAGTCTCTCTAAATTTATAAGCAATGTACCAGCTTGCAGGTTTTATCAGATAGCAGAAGAGTAAAGCTGACCAAATTTTTGCAGGCTTGATTATGCTTTATGTGATGATAACCAAAGATCTGTTAAGGCTCTAATCAGTTTTCTGTTGTAGGTCCACTGGAGTTAAAAGTAAAGACTTTAACAAGCCACACTGCATTCACAAATCTGTATTTAAAAATTTAAATCATTATTCCAATATCATTCAGGCATAGCGAAAAAATTACTGCAAATAGAGAGTAAATAAATAATTGTGTGTTTTAGTCAGGAATGTCATAAACAAAGTTGCTTGTTCTTCTACCAGCTCCTGTTTCATAGTTGATAGCATTGTGAAAATTTTCATCTTCAGAAATGCTTTTTTTGCCTTGCTCTGTAGGTTGCGTCTGTTTCACTTTATATGCCACTTTTTAAACATTTCTAATTTTCTAGGTATGGAATTCGCCCTGAAAATGTGATTATATATGGCCAGAGTATAGGAACGGTACCATCTGTGGATCTTGCTGCTAGATATGAAAGTGCTGCTGTAATTCTTCATTCTCCACTGACCTCAGGAATGCGAGTAGCTTTTCCTGATACAAAGAAGACTTACTGCTTTGATGCATTCCCAAAGTAAGTTGTAGGATATTTTTTTTCTCAGCATGCATTTTCTCTATAACAGAAGTTCTCAACTAGAGAAACAAGTAGTCTGGCATATTATCTGAAATTCTTTTCAAAAATATAATAAAAGAATTGGAGAAAAATCACTGAATAACATTGAAGAGGAGCATTTGATTTGAAGAAGTTTACAAAACTTTGTAAACCTTCTAGGCGCTTTGCATTTCTAATCATTTTAGTGGATAGCTGTAAAGTAATTCATTTTCCTGTATATAACATGTAAATCCCTAGTTTTAACAAGTAGTTCTGTCCAGTAAATTGTTAGTCTGGGAAACTGTGAGCAAAGTCATTTGCAATATGTTTCTATAAGACTAAAAAACTAAGTAAATCTTAACTGAAGGAAATTTTTGTTGTATTTCAGAACTATGCCATTGTTTTCATAGATATAATCTTTTTCTTTACAGCATTGACAAAATTTCTAAAATAACATCTCCTGTCTTAATAATCCATGGAACTGAAGATGAAGTAATTGACTTTTCACATGGCCTGGCATTATTTGAGCGTTGCCAGAGACCTGTAGAACCACTGTGGGTAGAAGGAGCAGGCCATAATGATGTGGAACTCTATGGACAGTACCTTGAAAGATTGAAACATTTTGTGTCACAGGAGCTGGTGAACTTGTAACTTTCATTGTGTATTTACATGTTTTTTTTCATTTCACTGCAGAACTGCACACTTTGATAAATATATAACTTAAAACCTGAATGTTGTGTTTTCAAATCATCTTGGTTGCCTTCATTAAATCTACAGGTAATGATTTGTCAACATAATTAATGAAGGTTTTAATGTCAACATTATAAACTGGAATTACATGATCATGCAGTCAGACTGGCAGTTCGTATTTCTTTGTGTGAGGTTTTTTCTTCTTAGATGCAAAGAAAAAAATCACAAGGAGTACTGTAAGAAAATTTAATTATATAAAACCAAATGCTGTAAAAGTGTTGCCAAGTGCTTTAGCATATCAAAACCAAGTTTATAAATATTTTTTAAACATCTCAAAGTGTACTGTGACTTACTCTGTTGCACAGGTGTAATTAAAAAACTGACTTCTGAACTGTTGTTCTGTAAAAATGTAATAGCCATGAAATTTGAGCAAATACTAATGTATGTAATGAGAATAAACAGTCACTGGAAATTACTCTTGCCCTGTTACAGGGAGAGAGGGGAAAAATAGATCTTTTCCCATATTTTTTATTTCTTTTGTGCTTAGTTTTCCTTTAGTTATTTTGTACTCGTATTGCCTATTAGCTTTCAGGATAATAAAATGTACCCACTCATGTTCTCAGGAGTCCTAATCTTGCCAGAGTAATTCTACAAATTATCATTGTTGTAATGCAGGTATCATTCACATGATTGCTACTGAGGCCACAAAATACCTCTTTGAAACCAGACTTAAAACCTAGAAGACTTCTTGAACCATGTAGTTTTAAACACTGATTTTCTAGAGCCACAACGTGTCATTAAGAAGAACCTTGAAGCTTATCCAACATTGTAATAAAGAGTTTGCAACATAGCAGTTGTCTGATCAGGCTAATTTTGGATGTTTAGTGTAAAAGCTTATTGTTTTTGAGTATTGTATGGAAATTTTACTAATTGGGCCTCTGTGGGGTGGGAGGAGTGACAAGAAGAGAATATTGACATTTTTCTATTAACTCATTATAAAATAAACTTAAGTTGCCTTTCCCTTGAATGCATTTTACATGAATAAAACTATGAAAAATAAACTTCATTATATGTGGCCTAATTTTGAACAAAATAATATTCCTACAATACACACTGTGCTTTTAAGGCCTTACATAATTTAATTGTTGTGCTTGTTTTTGTGATTGAGACTATTGTGTACTTAAATGTAGTTTTGAGTATTGTGAAGACTTTGGTTAAGATGTGTTGATTAACAGTAAACAATATTCCACAAACTTGCAGTTTTTTCTTTTTATTCAAAGTAATAGCAGCAGTTGCTTGCAGTATCAAAATACTTAGCAACTCCCCATTTATTCAAGGAAATCTGACATCAAAAGCAATAACTTATTGTTCGAAATTGCCAGCACATTTCTTTATCAGCAGCTACTGTTCTGGATCACCCTTCTATCCCCATGCCTCACCTTACTACAATTTGCCATTCAGGACACAGGCTTTCTGCTGCAAAGCTGCTTGTAAACTTTTTTTTCTGTAACAAATTCTAGTATCTCCTTCTTTGAAATTAAAATGAATTATTGTCTTGTGCACTTTGAGTTAATTGAGTAGAAAGAAATTTGTTCACAAGGCACTAGATTTCTGTGTGATTTTTTGTTCAAGGATGTTACAGTGAGTTCTGAAATACAGAGTATATTCAGAAACAGCAGCATTAGACTTAAGGATTTTCATCCTAGTTCAATGCTTTTGGATACAGGTGTATAACTCAGCTTTATTAACATCATATTTAATACATAGTTTGATTTCCTTTTCTTACTACCTTAGTAAGGAGGTAGCCACTGGCCACTATCTCCAATGGAAGTCCGTGCCATTGAATGTTTAAGTGCTTTCTTTGTAATGAATGGAGCTTGTTTTGAGATTCACCTTCAGGAATTCAGAAATAAAGAGTGTAGAAGTGCAATATTAAGTGATATATATTGGCTGCAGTTTGGTTGCCTGCCCCTTGCAGGCAAATGATCAACTGTCACCACAAGAACTATCTGATTGTGCCAGGGGATATTGTGGCACCCTGTAATTGAAAAAGACAGAAAAGGTGTCATAGTAGTTTTGCTGCTTTTGTTTCTGTATTTTGTTGAAGCAGAACAAAAGACCTGACTAATAGTGTTTTGGCTTCAGTATGTGCAGCTGTGCTGGATTGCACTGGTGAGTAGAGATTCTGGTCTCTTGCATCATTTATGCATGGTTAATTATTGCCATTTTGTGCTGATTTATGTTTTATACTAATATTTTTTCAGAGGAGTTGTATATGTGAAGGAATTTAAATAGCTTAGCCTGTGGTGCAGATCGTATTATGGCAGCAAACTTGTTAGTGACCAAAAGCAACTCTGAGCTATTGCAATGATGAGGAAAACATTTGACATCCTGATTGTCTTATCCTTATACCATCATTTTGGTCAAATTGACAATGGGCTGTTGTTTAATGTTACAGATGCAATTGTCTCCTGATAAACAAAGTTGATTCAGCATTCATTGAAAAGACAATGCCTGTATTTTAGGGAAAAAGAAAAGAGCATTTTGTAAGCTTCATGGTGTCATTCCTGGTTTGGTTTTTTTTAAAGAGATGTATTTGACAGTAAGCTGTCGTTTTCAGTTCTGCAAACCTTGGCAAATCAGCTTTCAAAACAACTTCATATATGTAAAATATGTGATTACCTTCTAAAGGTGGGGTCTATTTAGGACATGTTTTGCTTTTACATTCACAACTCCATAACTCCCCTCTCTTAACTGTCCACTTCTGGCACCAAAGGATTCTAGTGTATGTTCAGTTAGATACTCTTATTAATTGATTCTAAGCTTACTTTCCTTTTCAAGATTTTTTTTTTTTTTACTGGGGAAAAATATTACATGTTTATTTTTGGGCTCCTTTAACTGGGTGACATTGGACAACAAGGTACTGCTCATATGGAATATGCCAGGTCCTACAGGTCCTAATTTTTCTCACTACTCTGTAGGCATTGTTAATATCTTAAAGTCACAAATAAGGAAAATAGTATGTAAGTAGGAGGCTGATTGGTTGAAAACTTTGCAGAAAAGGAGTTGGGGACCCTGCTGCAACAGGCTGCACATGAACCAGCATTGCATCCTTACGCCAAAGGCAAACGAGACCATTCTAGGCCTGATAGGCAGAGGTTTGCCAGCAGATCATGGGAAGTGATCCTACCTCTCCTCTCTGCTCTGAGTCCAGATGTGTGTGAAATGCTGAATCTAACTCTGGGCTTTTGCATGAGGAAGGTAGGGATGTACAGAAGGAAGTCCAGTGCAGGGCCACAGCTACAACTGAAAGACTGGAGCATCCAGCATAGGAAGAGATGCTGAGAGAGCTGGGACTGTTCATCCTGGGGAAGAAAAACTTTGAGGTTTGGCAGGATATTAACTATTATGTATGAATATCTGAGGGAGGTAGTGAAGAGAGCTGAACATTTCCCTGTATTGCCTTCTGAGAGGGCAAGAGCCTATGATGACACACTAAAAACCAGAAAACGTAATCTGAAATTAGAAAGCGAACAGGGTTTTTTGAGGTGTTTTTTTGTTTGTTTGTTTTGGTTTGGTTGGTTTTTTTATTTGCTTGTTTGTGGGGTTTTTTGTTTGTTGGTTTTTCTTTTTTTTTTCTTTGTGAGGCAGATCAAACATTGGGACTGACTGTGTAGTTCTCATCTTTACACATAATCAGAATTCAGCTGAACACAGCTTTAGGTAACCTGCTGTAGCTGAGCCTGCTCTGAGCACACAAGTAGATGTTCCCAAGGGGTTCCTTTCAGCATCTGTCATTGTGTGTACACCAGCTCAGAAGAGGAGAGTGTTTATTTAAAAGAATTGTCTTCATTTGGTGTTCCCTACTTTTGACGCTTTATTTTAAAGCAACAGAAAGCCCTTTTTCTCTTGGTTCTGAGACCGTTGTTTGATGCACTGCTGCTGAGTCAGACTAATACCAACTTTTATACCACAGACAGTGTCATCAAAGATCACAGATTGCTACAGTGTACTACAAATGGTTGAAAAGCTAGAAGTATAAGTATGCTATCCTGAAAAAAGTGCTTGAAAGATATCTTAAACATTGTCAAAGACGGAAATGTTGCATTCACAGCTACTATTAAGTTATGAGATACAGTTGTTTTCGGTTGTTTCAATAAAATTGGGTAATAAAGTTGGTTTTACTTCACCTGATTAATGAAATGAAAAATTGTTTGTGGGCAAGTTTTTCATGAGCTAGTAACTGTCAGACTTGCTCACCATCACTGATACAGTACAGATAACTGATTGTTACAAGTTAGTGTGAAAACCCATTCAGCTTGAGTACCACCAGATTGAAATGTCATCATGACATTACCTTAGAGCTCTTGACATATTGAACTTCATATTAATTGTAAAATAGCCATTAAAAGAAACAATGATTCGCCAATAAATTCTATTTTATGATAATTTCTATACTGTATCTGCTTCCCTTTTTTATTTATTTCTCTATTAAGGGGTCTTCTTTCTGTGAAAGGGAGTAAAATCTTTGCAAACTTCTGGTAAAATGCCAAGGAAAATGTTTCAAGAAAGACAACTTTGTAAAACGCATGATCTTAACAACAGATTACTCTTCCAGTGAGGAAGGGCCAGCCATAAAAAATTATGTCAGCATTAACTTTTTCCCAGGGGCATTAGTAGGTTGTCTTAGTCTAATAACATCTTTCTAAATTATGAGGAAACCTTGAAATGGTCTTGTTGCTTAGAAGAGGTTTTGTGGTTGGTCAAGGAGGCCATCATACAAATGTTTGTCATTTTAATGTTTAATTTTCAAATTTTTTGGCTTAAAGTGGGCAAATAGCTTTCTAACTTTCATTGAGCACTGCAGAGAAGACATGGGAGTGACATTGATGAGACAGTACATATAGCTTCATATTAGGCTAGAAGCTGTGTGCACCTCAAGTAGGTAACTGTGCCTTTTCTCCTAGAGCTTTGGGTGAATGTAATATGGATGTAATCAGGCTGTCATACTGGGACATTTTTAATTTTCCAAAGCCACAAAATTTTTTGCCAGATGTGTTTTTCTGGAGTCAGGTAAATGATAGATTGACTAAAATTCTAAAACTGAACTCTGCTGACTAAAATTCTAAAACTGAACTGTACCAAAGATCTGAATAAATTGTAAACTAGAACAGCATTTTAAATCATTTAATCAGTAACTCATCTAGTAGCTCAAGGGCATATAATGGCACTGCAACTCTTTATCCAGCACCTGAAGTATTGCAAAGGTGCTTGATTGGCCAACTCATCTGTTTTTAAAGGTATAAGTACACTTTCAACATAAATGTATATTTATGTAAGTCATTCTAAGGAGAGCAAGGAATGTGTGTATAAAAATCACCAGCAGCTTTGCAAGAGCATTACTGATTTGGAGACACATATGATGCATTCTGATTTTGCCCCAAATATTTCCTAAAAAAAGTTTTCTAGGTCCATTTGGTAGATGCTGCACACTCTTCAAAACAGGAACAGAAATATCTGGTCTCTGGTTTAAAACAACCTCCCAGGATGTTTTGTTACATTCATGGCAACACTTTAATCCATTAGAAAAATGTTCACAAAATATTTGGGTGGTAAAATCTAAGTGCTGATGAGGCATTTCAGTTTTCAGACATCTCTGCTTCTCAAGAAGTTACTAGTTAAATATATACTTCACTTCGTTTTCATGTATTTGGCCAAGTGTATCATAGTGCGCTGCATAGAGAAAAGCAAAGGGATGAATGCTGTACTTATCAGAATTCTGTTTGTGTTGTATCTATCAGAATTCTTTTTGTGTTGTAGTATCATTTCTAGTTGGCAACGAGATTTAATGTAAGTTTCTTCCTGTCAGAGATTTTGTGTCCTCTGAAGTGCTGGAACACAAACCCCATGCTTGGAGCCAGAACAGGAAGACAGACAAAAAATGCTGACTTGAAAAAATGTATGAGTTCCTGTTCTGCTGTATTTGTAGGGCCCAGCACTGTCTCAGTTTGCCCATCATAGCAGGTGTGTAATAGATAAACTGTCATTATGTTACTTAGGGTCCCAAAACAAAAAGAATTTGTGTCTTGGTTTAAAACAACTTGAAGGAACATACTCTGGAATGAGCTGCCTCCCTTTATAGGTTCAACCAATCCCTTTCCACCAATAAGTGATGAATACAAGTAGAAGTGAAAAGAGGGCAGCAACGGGTGCAGCAACAGTCAGGAAATAACAGCAAATACCCATCAGATAGAAAACTGCTTAACCTCGCAGACTCCACAGAACAGAGAGACCCAAAATGCCGGGGACAGCCCCCAGGATGACGCTCCACAGCCGAGTGCGCGGTTCGAGGGACAAGGGAGAGGTGGTGCCAGTCTTCCCCCACCATCCCCTCTGCTCATCTCCAGCTGGAGCTCCGGCTGGTGCTCCACGGATCAAGGGCTGGAAACTTGCGGAAGGACTCCCCCTTTCTCTCGGCAGGAGCAGTAAAGGCAAGGTGTCCGCGCTGGGGTGACTCCGTAGTCTTCTCTCCTGGAGCAGGGACCGATGGAGCTGGACCAGATTGCTGGAGAGTAGC